TCTTTGCATATATAATCAGATCAAAGTGAGTCTTCATTCTAAAGGTAGGTATTTTCTGGAGAAGGCCAGATGGAAACAAATGCAGACAGAGCAGTGACAATGGAGAAAAGACCAGAACTTTGCTGCCATGAGCAAAGGAGTCCCAGGACTCCCCACAAACTGAGAGGGGGAGGCCAGGCTACTTCCTTACAGCTTGGAGGGCATCCGGCACCCAGGATGTGATAGATAAATTGTGTCAATTTGAGAACTTTACAAGTTTAATTAAGTGACTCAGTGGAAAACCAGGATCCTTAGTTGTGAACATCCTCATATTGTGCAAGAGGAGGGCATGGACCTTGTTTGAGTTCTACACCCCTAGTCCCAGGGTAGCTTGTTTATAATAAAAGGAGGGGACAGAGGCTGGCTAGAAGCCACAGATGCTGCCCTTTCTTTTGCTCTTCACTGTTTTCTGCTGCTCTCTGCCATGGGCCTCTCTGCCTGGGAGCCAGCCGTGTATAGATTAAAACCTCCACAAACTGTGAGCTAATAAACCTTTTCTTCCTTAAATTTGCATGTCATGTATTTTGTCCCAGCAACAAGTAAAAAGTAATGGTGGCAAAATATGGTACCAGGAGTGGGGTTGTTGTTCTGACTACCTGACCATATTGTTCAAGAGCTTTCAGGAATGGCTCATGGGAACAGATAAGAAAGATTTGTAAATGTCCCCTAGTACTGAAGAACTGGAATGCCTTTGGCTGTCCTATATGGGAGATTCTGGTCACAACTCAGAAGACCAAAATGCTGATAGAAAGCCTGCCTGTAAAAACCAGACTGGGAAAGTTTCTTCTGGGAAAAAGGACTGTGTTGGTTGTTGGACTCTAGTTGAATTGTATTATGGCTTGCCAGGAAGTTTGTCTGCATTTTTCTCAAGTCCAGAGACTTTGTCTGAGACTGAGTTTAAGTGCAGTGGACTAGCTAATCTGACAAAGAAAATTTCAAGACAGTCAAATGTTGAGGCAGTGGTATGGCTACTGTTGGGGCTTTTAGTCAGATTTATGTACAAAATCAAGAGCAAAGAGCCCAGTAGGATGTTTTAAAATGTGAATTAGCCAGAAAGGAAATGCCAAGAAGGCTGTGGGCTGCAAAGATAGAGCTGAGATCTCTCTTGTTCAGTAGGAACAGAATAAAATGTCCTGAGGGCATCACAGGATGTGTCAAGTTCTCACTCTTCACAGCCTGAGAACTCCAAGGGTAAGGGACTTCGCTTTGAAGAGAAAGTTGCATAGCTCTATGTTCCAGAATGGAAGCATTGGCCACACCATGTTCCAGAATTGCGGCAGCATAGAATTTGTTCCTCAGAAACAGGTTCAGAGTGCTCAGTGGTCCAGGTACTCGACCCCTACAACCAAGAGAGAAGAAAGCCTGGCTACTGCTCCAGCTGGCAGCTGACCTTGGCATCATCCAAGCAGCGTTGGTTTTAGGTGCATGAAGAATGCAAGAGTTCTGAGGTTAAGAAGGCTTCCACCTAGATTTCAGAAGGCCTGGGACTCCAGACAATGCGCCCCTGAGAGGGCAATGGGTAAAGCTATAAATAAAAGGCCTATTCAGTGCAAACCCCAAAAGTTTAGAAAAGCCAGAAACATAGGTTATCTAAAAAAAAAAAAACTACAAAGTGAGTACAAAGCCAGCCCCAGAGAAAAAATCATGTGAGCTACAGCAGAAGTGCCATAGGGTGGAGCCATATAAGGCTTTTGGAGCTCACGGCTCATTACAGATTGCTTCAGATGTCCCACATAGAGCCACAGGACTTAGTGTTTGCCCTCCTGGACTTTGGACTTGCTTTGGTTCCATTGTTTTATATCTGCTGCTTGTACTGTTTACAATGGTAATGTTTTTCTTATGCCATTAACTGTTGCAAGTGTTTAACTTTTCTTTTGCGCAGACGTTCACAGCTAACAGCTTGCCTTAGATCTTGGAAGAGAGTTGAGACTTAGACTTCGCAGCAATGCTGAAATTGTTAGGACTTTGACAGCCCGTAGAGATGGATTAAAATGCCTTTTGTATAAAGGGATGTACAAGAGTCTTTGGCAGGGGAGGGGGGTGCCCAGGAGCAAAATGACATGGTTCTAATGTAATAAATGTTCAAGTTATAAAATGTTAATAAGGATGTCTATGTACCTGGAAACTAGCTTAAGGAAATGTCTGGTTGCCAAGTTGACAAGGGGTAGATTGTACTGGTTGATACATTGTGTCAACTTGAGAAGTTTACAAGTTTGATTAAGTGACTCTGCAGAGAGCCAGGATTCTTAGCTGTGAACATCTTCATCCTGTGAGGCTCCTGTGCAAGAGGAGAGCATGGGCACTGTGTGAATTCTACAGCCCCAGCCCCAGGGTAGCTTGTTTACAATATAAGGAGGGGACAGAGGCTGGCTAGAAGCCATAGCTGCTGCCCTTCCCTTTGTTGTTCACTATTTTTTTTTTTTTTTTTTTTTTTTGGCGGAACCAGGG